CCCCAAAACCCCAAAACCCCAAAACCCCACTTGAGATTTTGGATTGAATAATTTGAAATAGTTTAAATAGTAATATTTTTAAATCAAAATGATGGCCCCAGCTCCTTAAAAGATGTCTAATGTTCAGAAAATGAAAGAAAAAGTCACCAATGTTCTGAATCAAGAAAAGTTTCTTCAGTTTCATAATAATCGAAATCCAGAGAATTTCCCTAGAGTTTAATTTGATGTTAATGATTTGGAATTCTGCGATTTATTGCATGAGATTGATCACATATACAAGAGTGTGCACTCACTGAACAAGGTATTTGTGAAATACTCAAATGCTTCAATGAGTAAACTTTTCATTCATGACCTTACGACAATATAGATATGACTAAAATTAACTCCTTCTTTGGTCCTTAAGCATTGAAAGCGTACCCTTAAACTCATATCAATCATTCAGCCTCTGTTCAGATAAACTAGACACACGAGGAGACCTCAAAGCTGTACAAGGAGTTTTTGGCAAACTAACAGCAGACTGTGATTCAATTCAAGATGATTAGCTAGAAATTTGAGTTACTGTTTGCAAAGCTAAAGAATAGAGATAAGTCTTTGGAAAAGTTTAAGCACTACTATGACAAGATATAAAAGCTAAAGGAACAAAACTAGCTTAAAGGTAGAAGCACTGATCCAAAAGAGGACGCAAAGCATGCTGAAGCTGTTCAGAGGGTAACTTATTTAAATGTATTAATTTAATAATAGAATGACAAAAAATATACCGAAGCATTGACACAATTCAATGCTTTGAATAACAGCTGTTATAATGACATTAATGACATCATAAGGAATAAATACAAGATTCTCACGCCAATCGTTATAAGATTTACCTAAGTTTCTCAAGTGTTCTTTTCAAAGATGAGTGGTGCTTTCCAAAGCGTTAACATGCTTCAAGACAAGTCTCCTCTGTATGCCAATGCAACTGCTGCTAATTAGGACGCTAGCAATCAGAACTAAGATCCTAACATGAACAATAACAACAACAACAATGACTATTACTATGAGGAATAGAAATAAGACGATGTAGGCTTCAACTTTTAAGATTTAGACTTGGGAAATGGATAGAGAAATAGTTTCACCTCTTAGATTCAACCATAAGTGCAGTAGCAGCCTTAGATAGAGGAGGAGCCGGTATACGACAATAGATACGATAGAGAGTACGCGGAGATGATGAAAGAAAAGAAGTCAAGGCAGAACTCAGTCATTGGCCAAAGCAATGTGAACCAGAACAACAACTATAACCAGAACAGCTATAAAGAAGAAAGTAACTATCTGAATTAGGATCTGCAATATGATTAAAATTACTACTCTGCCCCTCAGACCAATAATTAAAATAATCAGGTGTATGATAAATATGATGAAAGGTACTACTAGGATGTGCCTTAGCAACAGGATAACCAGAATAACTATGATAATGGCTATGACAATAACTATGACTCATAGAATCAAAATTACTATGACTAGAATTATGCTAATAACAACAATCAAAATAGCAATCAGCAAAATGACTAGTATGGTAACTACGATAACTACTATTGATAACTTTGACATTTGAGTGGATTAGCTTTAACTCATAATAACAATATTGCTCTTTTTTAGTGATTTCTATAAATCAGTTATTCAATCTAACTTTTACTTAATACAGCGGGGTTTTGGGGTTTTGGGGTTTTGGGG